CATGTACCGACTAACCACTCCCACTGCTTGTGCAATGTATGGTCTTGTGCATATCATAGCGAACACTAAACTTCCCACTGCCGATGCATACGGCACTCAAGACATCTTCATCCTCTCTTCTTCACTGCTAGGACTCATATTAGAGAATAATTTGAAGTTAATAGGAAGAGGGGTAAAAATTGGCTTACAATCTTGCATGCTGAATCGTGATAAGATATTCTTCAAGTAATTCTTTTGTGAAAGCCAAATCTTCCTATTACTTCTATCTTGGTGAATTTGCATCCCCAAATCTTGTTTGCTGATCCCAAGTCCTTCATTTCAAATTCCCTAGCCAGTTGTGCCTTCAATTCATCAATATGATCTTTGTTGGGTCCTGCAACCAACATGTCATCCACATACAATATAAATATAACAAAATTGTTATCACCAAACCTCTTGAAATAAGCACAAGGGTCTGCATTAAGTCTGTTGTATCCAAGGCACATAATGAATGAATCAAATCTCTTATACCAACACCTCGGCGCCTACTTTAGATCGTACATAGATTTGTTCAACCTGCAAACCAAGTTCTTCTTTTTGTCTTCTTCAAAACCTTCAGGCTGGAGCATGTAAATCTCTTCTTCAAGATTTCCATGAATAAAAGTTGTTTTAACATCTAGCTGCTCTAGATGTAAGTTCAGCGTAGCACACATTGCCAAGATTACTCGTACTGTTGTTAGTCGAACCACAGGAGAAAAGATTTCATTGAAATAAATACCTTCTTTTTGAGCATATCCTTTGCCACCAGTCTTGCACGATATTTCTCCACTTGATCATCACCATTTCGCTTGATTTTGAAGACCTATTTGTTACCAATTGGCTTCCTTCCCTGTGGTAGTGGCACAAGGTCTCATGTATTATTTTTATGAAGGGCTTCGATTTTTTCTTGCATCGCCATCATCCACAGTGAAGCATCTGAGTTGTTTATTACCTCCTGGTATGTTGATGGCTCGCCGTCCTCTGTTAAAAAATAGTATGCAATATTACCTTCTATAACATAATTTGAGTGCCAATTGGGACATCTTCTCACATGATCTGATTGACGAGTTGTTGGAGCTTCAAAACTCTCTGGTTCTTGTTCATCATGTACTGGTTCTGCTTCAGAAGAATCTCCTTGTTCAAACTCCTTTTCCACATCTATCTATGTAGTCTTTGACTTTTCAGTGCTACCATCTTCTTTTTTTCTTTGCAGCTTATCTTCTACAAAGATAAAATCCCTGCTAATGATCACTTTGTGGCCAGTGGGATCCCACAAGCGATACCCCTTTACACCATCAACATACCCCAAGAATTTGCATTTCTGGATTTTAGATCCAGCTTTGAAATTTCTTGGGAGTTGTACATCACGTACACAATACTTCCAAATACACGGAGGTTTGAATAATCAACTGTTTACCAGTCCACATATCCATTGGTGTCTTCAGCTCTATTGCAGTTGATGGAGCTCGATTCACCAAATAACAGGCGGTATTGACTGCTTCTCCCCAGAATGATTTTTCTAGGCCTATATTCCTCAATATTGCTCTTTTTCTTTCTAATAAGGTTCTGTTCATCTGCTTTGCCACTCCATTTTGTTGAGGAGTGTTCGCCACTGTGAACTGCCTTTTGATGCCTTTTTTCCTGCAAAAGTCATCAAATTCTTCTCTTGTGTATTCTCCTCCATTATCTTTTCTGAAACACTTGATCTTATTTCCAGAATCAAGTTCCACCTGCGCTTTGAAGTTTTTGAAAGTTGAAAACACACCTGACTTCTTTTTAATAGGGTACACCCAACATCTCCTGGAGTAGTCACCAATAAATGAGACAAAATATTTTTCTCCGCCTAGGGATGTAACTGGTGCTTGCCATACGTCAGAGTGAACCAATTCTAGAACACTTTTTTTCTCAAGAATTTGATGTGTTGAATTTCAATCGGTGCTGCTTACTTGTCATACAATGCTCACAAAAAGTAAGTGATACATTTGTTAAGCCTGGAAGTAGCTTTTGCTCCACAAGGACTTTCATTCCTTGTTCTGATATGTGTCCAAGTTTCTGATGCCATAGTATTGCAGAATCTGAACTACATGAGGCTACAGAGGCTTCTGCTTCTATCAAAGTCTCTCCCTTCAGCATGTACACGTTTGCTGCTATCTTTTCGCCTTTCATCACCACAAGCGCTCAATGGAACACCTTCATGATTCATTTTCGTGTTTCAATCTTGCTTGCATTATTATCCAACAATCTATAGGATAATAAATTTTTCTTCAGGCCTTTCACGTGTCGTACATCTCAAACAACTTTAATTATTCCATCATACATCTTCAATTTGATGGTCCCCACGCCAATAATCTCCAAGGCATGATCATTGCAACTATAGACAGATTTTCCTGAGACAGGTTCATAATGATGGAACCATTCTCTTCTTGAGGTCATGTAATATGTTGTTCCCGAATCAATGAGCTATATATTTGCAAATCTTTTTCTGCCTTCCACGGTGGTTGACGCTTCACAACATAGAGCATCTTCATCATCTAAAGTGTTTGTGGTATTGCCTTGTAGATTGGAGTTTTTATTTAGACTCCAACAATCCTTCTTCAAGTGACCCTTCTTTCCACAGTTGTAGCACTTTAAATTCTTCTTGCTTCTCGACTTTGATCTACCATGTTTGTAACTGCTGCTTTGGCCACGTTCCGTTGATCTCCCTCTCATCGTTGTCAACGCTTCTGCTTGTTGCAGATTTACTTGTCTGTCTTCCTTGTTCTTGCACCAATTTTCTTCTTGTAGAACAGCAACTGCAACATCATCGAAGACTAGACTGGTGACATTATTGTTTGTCAAGTTGATGATGAGTTGATCATACGAATCAGGTAGACTTTGAAGTAGAAGTTCAACACATTCTTGTTCTCCTATTGTACATCTTATGGATGTAAGCTGAGAAAATAAAGTGTTCAGCGTGTTTAAGTGCTCCGTCATTAAAGTAGATTCTGGCATCCGGAGAGTGTACAATTTCCTCTTAAGGAAAATTTTATTGTGCAACGATGTGGCCTCGTACAATTTGGTGAGATGATCCCATATCTCCTTAGCTGTCTTCTTCTCCTCAATGCTTGACAATACTTCATCTGCTAATGCTAGATGAAAGTTTGTCATAACATTCCCGTCCATTTTGATCCATTTATTGTCATCTGTGAAATCTACCGGCCTTTCACTGATAGCTGCTAGACAACCGTCTTTCCTCAGGATGGCCTTCATCTTCAATTTCCACAATGAGAAATTTCTCCCATCGAATTTTTCAATATCAAATTTCGTTGTCATAGCTTCTATTACTGATAGCTCTCACTATTTCACTATCGTGAATAGTTCTTTGGAACCTTCAAAGAATGGGTAATACCTTCTTACTTTCTTATGTTGGAGGATCCACCTTTTGGTGGCAACGACAAAGACAATAAACAGATATTACACACTCAGATCTGGCTCTAATACCAATTGTTGCGGAAGACACTATCGAATAGAGCAAAATCGCAACTAATAATTTCAGAAAATAAAAATGAAAATAAAGAAGACACAAATTTTACGTGGAAAATCTCTAAATAATATAGGGTAAAAACCATGGGCAACGGTAGAAGAATTTCACTATGAGAAAATAGGAATTACAACTTCTCTCGATCGACCAAGGAGAAAACAATGATAATTCTCTCTTGATAAAAAGGAGAAAACAACTCTCAAGAAACTCTCTAAATTCTCTCTAGTATTGGAAGAAAGCTAGAATGCTATGAGATAGTTTTGAAGCTAAATGAGTCAGGGTATTTATAGTTGAAGCTTAAGGACTAATCTTATAAATATCCTAAAGTTTAGTGACTAAAGTTTGTAATTTGCCCATATAAAAAATCAACAAAATTGGCTGCCTAACTTGGACCAAATTACACATTTAGCCGCGCCATGCTAATTAGTCGCCCATGCCTTGAATATTCAACACTTTCTTGACCGTTAATTACACGAATTAAGTGATTTTAGTAAAAAATAAATTGTTGTTATTTTTTGAGGTTGAACATCGTAAATACTAGGATGTGAACATTCACTATCAAATGATTGATATTTATCTTGATTAGATATTGACTTGTATTTATCTCATATTAATCAAAAAAATTATATTATTTCATATGTTTATTCTATTTTTGGGGTTTTAATTTCCCCCCCAAATACACATAGACAAAGTGTTAGAATTTGATTTGAATTCAGTTTAATTCAATTGATGATATATAAATAAAAAGAAAATTGAAGAAAGTATGAATTCTAGTTTGTTTAAAGAAACATATCTATGTCTAATGTTGAATAATAAAAAGAAATTCAATTTAACTAGTTTCATTTTTAATTAATTATTCTAATAAATAGATACTAAGAATTATAATTAAATATTAGATTATTTATGATAACTCTCTAGCAGGGTGTAACAATAATTTTTTAGACTGTTTCTGATTGAATCATGATATTTTAGAAGAAAAATAACGGCTAAGCAAGAACGATAGAGGCCACCGACATCTGATTGTATAAAAATCAATTTTGATACAAATAGTTTTTATCCTGACACGCAGAGTTTTATTTCCAGTGATTTAGCTCGTAACAATACAGGAAATATCATGAGAGTGTGTACTTGTACCCTCATGAAGACGTGGCTGATGTGTTTGTTGCATATGCGAAAAGGCAATCATGTTGACAGTTGAGTTAGGATTTCGAAAACTCGAGTTCGAAGGGGATTTTCCAACTGTCATTCAGAAATCGAACAGGTTTTCAGCAGATAAATCGGTCATTAACCCAATTTTAATGGATATTAAAACTAAAATAGGTTGTTTCCAGATTCTAACTTTTAAATTTGTTGGACGCCATGCAAATAGAGTATCGTATGTATCTAAAGATGAAAAAATTAAAGTAATTAACAACGCAGTTAACTAGATAGGCTTAGCCAATTTCCTGTTCCATGACCATCCTTACAAGCCATAAACTAAAGTTTAATTGTATTCCAAAGAAAAATACAACCTTATCAAACAGAACCAAACCATTTTTCACTCACTGGTTCCTTTTCGATGAGATAAACACAAAAGAAGAAAAAAATGGCGCCCATGAACTGTAGTTTTTTTCCGGGGATTTCCAGTAGGGGAGTGTTATTTTCATCAATCATCACTATTATATGGACTCAATCTTCTCCAGAACTTTCAGGGTACTTATTCAAATCAGGATTCTGGAAAACTTGATGAGTATTATTCGGTGATTCCGATGCGGAAGCATGATTATGATGAAGCGACGGCGACGTCGACTGTAAGGCGTCGACTTTAGCACCAACCTCGGTTGCTTTCTTTCGTATGGAAGCGGCTGAGATGTCCCTAAGTTTTTCCTCTTCTTGTAAAACGAGGTCGGGGAAGTTGAGCCTTGCTGAAGGGCCGCGCAAATAGAAAACGGCGGTGTCATAGGCGCGGGCGGCGGCGATAGGTGTAGTGTAAGAACCGAGCCAAATCCTGGACCTCTTGTTGGGTTCCCTGATTTCAGCCACCCACTTCCCCCACTTCCTCATCCTTATCCCTCTAAATGGTTTCTCCTTTTTCTGTTGCCTTTGCACCTTCCGCATCTCTCCGCTCGTCGAACTTGAACAACAATCACCTTCCATGCTAAACCCAAACCTTAAACAAATTGAAAACCCTTCAACGGGATCTTGGTTTTCCAAAAATTAAAACTTGTAAGACATAGCAAGAGAAAGAAGAAAAGAAATGTATATTTGTTTAATCAAAGGATAGCCTTTGCTTCAAAAGGTATTTTGAGTAGTTTTATATACAAAAATGAAAGAGTGGGGGAGTATAGTTTCCCACTTGGCTGCTAGTCTGTCGTCTGGGCACGGCCGCCACGTTGATCATCCTTAAAGATAAATGCAAATTTGGCCGACATAACCCATCGTCTTCCACATCTTAATTTCTCTAAGTAACCTATAAATGCTATATATAAATAACATAATAAACACACTTACATACAATGACACACTAATTTTCTCTTGGTGAATACGAAAGGGTGTTTAGTGACTTAACCGAAATCAACTAAAGTAGCGGCTTCTCAGTTCTAACCATGTGATAGCCGACGCATTTTTAGTCTGGGATATCCTACTGCCAAGCAAATCATTTCCCAATTTTATTTTTGCTTAACATAAAAAAAATTAAAAAAAATTAATTTTTTTAAATAAAAATTTTAAAATTCTATAAATGTGGTACGTGTCATTTAACGGTATAATTTACCGACGATGACGGTCCATGCATCTAAAAGTGTAATGTTATAAACGTCAAACAAGTATTTTTTACACCTAAATAGGAAAAAAACACTACAACAAAATAGGATTTTAGAGACGGTTTTTAGTTCAATAGGTCATTTTTAAGCGCCACTAAAAACCTCATGGCGCTAACAAAAGCGTCGCAAGAAGTGCCGCTAAATCGAGTGCCACAATAATTAACGGCGTTTGTGAACATAAAACACCACTATATATCACAACATATATCGGCATTTGGTTCCACAAACACCGCTAATAGTCGTGATATATTACATCTTTTATTTTCAAACGCCACTATATGTTATGATATTTAGTGGTGTTTTTTTACCACAAACGTCCTATTCCTATGTATATAGTGACATTTTTCTTCACAAATGCCGCAAGGGTATATGTCATTAGTGGCATTTTCATTCAAAAACGCCGCAAAAAAGTGTGAATTGTAGTGTCGTTTGTTATACAAAGCCCACAAAAGAGCATAGTTTGCCAAATATCATGTTCTGCTCTTTGTACCAAACTGATGCAAATTGGATTAAGTTGACGTCACATATCAATATTAATTTTGTTGGAAAAAACATTTTAAATGGCAATAAATATCATTATACATCATATTTTATTTAAAAAGAAATATTATTATTACGAAATAAATATCAATATGTGATTGTTTTTATACACTACTAAGAAATAAAGGTATAATAAAATATGGGCAGATTTCGAGTCTTGACTAATTCATCCATCAAACCGCGATGAAGACTTTTTTGAGAGCAGATCTTGTAAGGATTTAGGGTTGCTTACCGGGGACTGCAACTGAAGTTTTGGCATACAAGAGCAACCACCTAAACAAGTAGTGAACATCAACAACAACCAACAACAGAATTATCTTCGATACAACAATTCCTGACATAATTATGAGACTGCAAGAAAACAGTCTATGAACAAATACCTAACATAATTCTTACTATTTCATTTGACATGAAACAAATACATGCATGATGAGAGAAACATTTCCAGATCAGCACACTCAATAGGCAGAAATAAATTTCATATCATGTCTTACCTTTACAATATTGTCTGCATATTTCATTACCATCGATATAAAAATTCCACTGCAAATGGAACAAATACATGAAGAGATATTTCTAACGCATGAAGACCAATAATAGATTAACAAGATGAAATCATGGTGATTTAGCGTTAAAGATATCACCTTTCACAAAAAGAAGACTAAAGAAGTTTAGACTCTTACCATGTCCTTTTCCAACTCTGCTTAATTGAGCCATGTATTCCGATATTTTCTTGATGGCCTCCACCTATAAAAAGAAAGCACAACAGAATCAAAAACCTTGTTTTCAGTATTCATCAACAAAAGTAAATTTTATAGACACAAAAATTGTATTTTACCTGCTCAGCTTAGTATTTGCGTTCGATGAATTCTGTCAACTGCCCGTCATGGTTCCGCGCAGCTACCTATTTTCCAAAATCTTAACTATTAGTTAAAAAATTCTGTGTGATATCACCTTATTAACAATTTTAAAATCAAAATTCAAAACTACAAGCAGAGAACAAGATGGAAAAGAATATGTATATACAACTATACATATGGATAGTGTGAGTGAGTGAGTGAGAGAGTCTTACACTATGTAGGTTCAAGAGCTTTTCATTTGTTAGTTTCTCCAGGAACAAGGCCAACTCCATTGCTGAACCAAATAACTAAACGCAATCAGCTTGAATCGCATATGACATGATAACTACTAAAGTATACTTTTACTACTTTTGGCTAATAAGACATTATCATCAACCCGATTCAACATTAAGAAAGATAATGGGATGATCACATAACAAATTTCAAAATGCCCTGGGGAGTTAGCAAGTAAATGTTCAAGAAATATCTCTTCCTTGGCTAGATTCCTAATATAAGACTATGAATACACCAACCATACAAATTTACATACATACTTCAAATTTACATGATCCTAACAAAATCAGAGAAATGGATGTAAATTCAAACAAATAAATGATTAAATAAATATGAAATTTCATATCATGTCTTACCTTCACAATATTGTCCGCATATTTTATTACCACCAATACAACAATTCCACTGCAAATGGAACAAATACATGACCCAGTTTCATGAAAGCAAAACAGGGGAACTAAAAGGTCCTTACTTAAACAGAGATTCGTATAAGCATTGGTTGCAAACTATAAATGGAGTCGGCAACTAACACATAAAGGCAAGCAAAGAAATGACCATTTAAGTTTCACTCCTCCAATATCCATGAAATCTAAGCACACTAAATATAATGAAAATAATATATTATCCACGGCATTCCCTAACAATTTCAACATAAAAATTGAAAGTAACAAAAACCTAAAACCAATCTCACCTGTAATATTATCCAGGGAATTCCCTAACAATTTCAGCAAGTTTATTGTAAAGATCCTTTAAACATTAATCTGAGTATTTGCCTTCTCTGAAACCTCTATTAATATGTACAGGTAAAATTAAAAATTAGGTAATATTTCAAAATTAATATAAATTTAAAAAAAAGAAAAAAAAATGTTACAAGGAATTGGTTTAGATTGGAGACCGAGGAGGAGGCTAGCTTGCATGAGACGAGTAGATGAGTCAGAATAACCGTCAGAATCTTCTAGTTGGACTTGTAACTTCTTAAACTGCTTCTCCAAGGAAAGAGAGGTTAGGGGCGAGTCAGAATCACCACCAGCCATAGAAGTCGAACAAAGAGAAATGCTGAGAGGGGAACGAGAAGGAAGGTTTCTGGAAACGCTCGAGGGAAGCGAGGGAAACACAGAGAAGGAAGCGAGCAAAAAGAGGAAATGAAGGGTAGAACACGAAGAATTGACGGGTTAAGTTTTAAAGAATAAAGAGAGTAAAGTTGTCTTATCTATTAACCAATTGGGGGAAATTTACGGCGTTTACAACTAAATCCCTAAAACAAGTTTTTAGCGATGTTTAAAACAAACGCCACTATATATCAATTTATTGCGGCGTTTTTCGTAAAAACGCCACTATATGTACATGACTATTGCAGCGCTTTCCTACAAACGCCGTAAATTTTTTTTGTGGCGTTTGTTCTAAAAACACGGCTAAAAATACCACTTGCTCATTTTGTTGTAGTGAAGATATAATTTTGACTCAAATTTTTATATTGAGCCTTTTGTTTTTTCATTTAATGCTTACACTATTTTATACCAACTGATTTTGTTGGTTTTAGAATACCACAAAAAATTAAATATAACACATATGGCTAAACATATTATATATATTCTTTTTAAAGGTTTCGAATTTGAATAATTATATTAATAGAATGTGTGTCAGAATGATCCTTAAGCTTTTTAGGGTTATGGAAGGGATCGATCCAACTTAATATTGGAAAAGATTGAGTTTTAAAGTAAATAACAAATAAATAGTTTTGGAGTCGCAATCGATCTTTGGGTTAGGTAGGTCGAGTATCTAAAGATAACTTTTAAAATAATTTTAAGAAAAATAATTTTAAAAGATAAAACACGATATACGTTTAACCAGAAATTTGTTTTGAAAAGGGTTCGAGAGTCGATTACATGTGGGAAAGGATTAGCACCCCACAATGCTCGAAATCGGTACCTAAGCGATTATACGTCATCTAAGTATTGAAATTTATACAGTCGAGTATACATTTAAATTATGATCATATTAGAAATTTTTTTCGAAAATGTATTATTTCGTATGGACAATCCTAAAAACACACTCCTTATCAGTTAAGGTGCTTTTACATAAATTTCCCATACAAAATAATATTGCTTTAATTTATTCTTTTAAAGGAAATAAAAGGTATATATTTAATATATTTATAAATTATTCGAATACAAAAAGGATACTAGTTTTTACGAACAATCCTTGGAAACACGTTCCTTGTTAGTTAAGGTGCGTTTCCATGAATTCTCTTCACAAAATAATATTGCCTTAATTTTTAGTGAAATTCAAATATTTAATATATTCAAAAGAAAAAAAAACTTCAAAAATAAAAAGAATACTAATTTATGCGGACAATCCTCGGAAACATATTCCTTGTTAGTTAGGACGCGTTTCCATGATCTCTCCTCACAAAATAATATCTTAAAGATGTTTACGATCGAATCTAACAAAATATATTTAATACTAGGTATATATGTAATACAAGAAAAAATTATAAACAATAAAAGGCCAATAGCAACATATAATATATACATAATACCTAAAAACAATACATGAGGCTATGTAATGTACTATTGCATACATATTTGTTAAATAAATAAAAGGGAATTAAATGCAAGAATATAAACGTGACAAGCCAGAATATAAATAGCAATAACTACATGGGCACTGACATAAATATGGCCAAAGGTAAGGAGCAAAATGTAAATAATATGAAGCACAAGTACTAGGATCTTAATAAAACCATAAACAGTAGGACCAAAATGAAACATTATTAAAACAAGGCACCAAATGAAGAAATCATAATAAAACTATGAAACAAACGAGCCCATAACTGAAATGAAAATTATTAAAATAGGATGCTCAAATTAAAAATAATGCTAAAAATAAAATCACCAGTAGAAAGGGGACTAAAACAAAACATGGGCAAAACTTAGAGCGCAAATTAAAATAGATAAATGTTCATTTCAATGACCAAATCAGATTTTTACAAAGTTAGAAGGACCTAGGAAAGGGTTTGCCCACATGCCCAAAACGCAAAAATCCCCTCCCCAAAATGTCGTCGTCTAGGCCACAATATATATATCCAACAAATAGCCGAAAATGGCCAAAACTCCCCCATTTTTCATTCTACTCTCTCTAATAGAATAGATAAAAGAATTCTCTAGCCTCTATCTAACTTCCTTCGTCGGGAGAGGCCGACAACCTCCAGCAATCGCTCTTCGGAGCCCTTCGCCGTTGCACACGACAACTGACGACCTAAAAATTTACCCAAAACGACCATTTCCTTCCCTTAAACTTAGATTCATATTCCCCTAAGCCAAATATCTTCATAACACCGTAGATCTAGGGTTTTACCTTCGAAAAACAAGGCCCTCTGATGACGTTGGAAGACTTCAGTGACTGCAAGGTAATCCTCTTCTCCTTGATCCTTTATCCCTTTCTTTTATTTTAAAAAAAACTCTCATTTTTTTCAACTTTTGGTTCTTTCCTCCTTTTTCACTCTCGGGTTTTCTTTGTTTTTGTTCTCAGAGTTTTATTTTGTTGGATTTTTTCCTTTTGTGTTTGGTTGTTGATAATATAAAGGGCCTCTTTTTCCGTTGCATGTTTATGGGACTGATTTTTTTTTGTTTCTTTTGATTTTTTTTGGCTTTGGTTGGTATGTCTTAGGAGAGTGAGATGCGTTAGACGTATATACGAATGGGGTAAGATGGTTTTACCCAAGGCTCTTTTTATCTACTTTTGTGGTGATCGACGGATTTTTTGATGGCAGTGGCAGTCTTCGGGACACGATAATGAGTCACAGGTGGCTCTCAATCGGGCGGTGTGGCTGACGTGCAATGAGCATCAGGCGCGTGGAGGCGGCCTAGGCGCTTGGAGGCAGTTGTTGATTAGGGTAAAACCCTAATCATCCTTGATCTGAACCATTGGATGCCTTCTGATCCGATGACTAAGAGACCAGGCGACTGGAAGCCATAGCTGAAAACCATAGTTTGGTTGGGTCTTGGGCTGTTGGGTTGTAATAGCTTGGGCCCGATTTTGGGTTTATAAAAAAATCTGTAATATTAATAAATAAGTAAATAATAATAATAATAATAATAATAATAAATGTTAATAATAACACGAATAAAACATGTATTTATAGCTGCCCCTCTTTGCCCATGCTCGTGTTAACAAGAATAGGGCAAAGATAAAAAGACTACACGTTTTTGTCTAGTTCTATCTCGTTGATACCTCAATGGAGGCTGACAGATAACCCGAAGGACTTAATCATTAAGCTTGAAAGACTTACTAATGGCCCGAAGGACTTACCAATTTTGGAAATAGTTTACTAAGTAAGAAACTTTGGAAATCGCTTTCTTACTTTTCAAAAATTTCATTTTTTGAAAATATTAAATGAGAAACTTTGGAAATCGCTTTCTCATTTTTCAATTTCATGTGAAAACATCATGCCCAAAGGTCTTATAGATGGCCCGAAGGAATTATCATCTTGTTCGAAAGACTTACAGATGACCCGAAGAATTTATTCATCATGCTCGAAAGACTTACTGATGGCTCGAAGGACTTACAAATTTTGGAAATAGTTTACTAGGTAAGAAACTTTGGAAATCGCTTTCTCATTTTTTGAAAATCATGTGGAAACATACTTCCCGAAGGTCTTATGGATGGTCTGAATAATTTATCATCTTGTTCGAAAGACTTACAGATGACCTGAAGGATTTAAACATCATGCTCGAAAGATTTACTAATGGCCCGAAGGACTTACCAATTTGGGAAATAGTTTATTGGGTAAGAAACCTTGAGAATCGCTTTCTTACTTTTAAAAAAATTTCATTTTATGAAAATACTAAATGAGAAACTTTGGAAATCGCTTTCTCATTTTTTAAATTCATGTGAAAACATCCTACTCGAAGGTCTTATGGATGTCCCGAAGAACTTATCATCTTGCTCGAAAGAATTACAGATGAACCAAAGGATTTAATCATCATGCTCGAAAGACTTACTGATGGCTTGAAGGACTTACCAATTTGGGAAATAGTTTAAAATGTAAAAACTTTGGAAAATACTTTCTTACTTTTCAAAAAATTCGTTTTCAGAAAAGATTTAAACGAGAAACTTTGGAAATCGCTTTCTTATTTTTCAAAATAACTTAATGGTTGGGTAACATGCCTCACTTAAAAGTAATGCTTCT